GATATATAAATTATTATAGTATTACTAGCTAATACTATCTAATATATAAAATATAATTAAAGTACTATAGTATAAATAATTATAAATAGATTACATCAAAATATGTTAAAAGATATTGTTATAACAAATTGGTAAGTGAGGTTTTACTTGAATTTACCTTAATAATATAGGATTGGGAGAGACTGAAATAATTAAAGCATAAAGAGAGAGAAATTAGATTATAACTTTCAATAATAACAAAGATTTCTAAGACCTATATCAATATCTATAGATATTATCTCAAAAAGAATAATAAATTAAAGAAAAAAGTAAATAAATCAAAGAAATCATAAAGATTAACTGAGTGAAGCCACTAGTAATTGATATAATTTGAGATTTGAATTGATTAAATAGCAAGCTATTAATCAAAGAAAACTATAACTAAGGTAAAGATAAAAACTAAAGTATAAAAACTAAATAACTAAACAAATAAAAGTATATGGCTTATTTATAGTAGAGATCTTCTACTCTCAAAAAAAAATAATAAAAGAAATAAAATAAAAAGTATGATTTATTTATAATAGAGATCTTTTATTCTTAAAACAATACTAAATAAATTAAAAATCAATATAACATTATAATCTAAAAATCAAAAATCAACTTTGTATGGTCAAAGGAATAAAACTGAATAAAAGAAAGAGTACTAGTATAATTTGAAAAGAAATCTTTATAAAAGATTACTATTATTATGATAATAAGCTTTTAAATTATATTTTCCAAATAATTCAATTCAAAAACTATTTATTTCAAGTTAGGATAACAGATTCTTTTATATATTTTTCAGATACAAAATTATTATAGTATTACTAGCTAATACTATCTAGTATACAAGATATAATTAAAGTACTATAGTATAATTAATTATGAATAGGTTATGTCAAAGTATATTAAAAGATGTCAAAGAATATTAAAGAATATCAAAATACATAAAAGGATGTTAAAAGATGTGGAAAGATATGAGAAGATATAGAAAGACATGAGAAGATGTAAGAGAATATTAAAGAATGTCAAAGAATAATGAAAAATATTTAAGATAATCATCCAAATATAACTATTCCATCAAAATTAAAAATGATCTTTCACTATACTATTCTACTATGTATATAAATATCATATTATAAAATAATAGAAATATAAATTACAAATATTAAATAATATATAATATTTAAAAATAGAAACATGATAATAAATATAGCAATATATAATATAGAAATAGGGATATTTATAAAATAAATGAAAAATAAGAAAATATGTAATTTTGTATAACTAGAGAAAGATTAAGAAATTAAGAAATTTTATATCACTATAGTAATAATATCATTATTAATAAGTATCTTTTTGTTATTTTATTTATTATTTTATTATAAGTAAATATTTTAAATATCATACTACTTCATTTTTCATTTCTTCTAGAGAAATTTATCATTAATTTTGCTATTATTATTATTAGGTAAGTTTTTTTTTATTTTTTTTATATTTCTTCTACTACTAGAATAAAGAAATCTGTTATTTACTTTATTATTATTAAAAGTATTCATTCTTAGAATATTATATTCTTATTAATTTATTCTTATTATTTTGACTTTATTATTTTTTATATAGAATATAAATACTCTAATATTCTTATATTTCTTACTTGCTTCCTTAAGAATTATTCTTATTCCATTATTACTTTTAAAGTTCTTTTTGTTTTTTTATTTTAAAAATATATTATTTTTCATTTTTATTTTCTAATTGATTTCTTAGTAATTATTTTTTTAAGATAAGTATTTATTGTTAATTTATTTTATTAAAGAGAAATATAATTATTAATACTTATTCTTTATTTCTTGGATTTTTATTCTTGAATATATCATATACTTCTTTCTTCAGGGAATTATTATAGTTATTATTTTCTTTATTCTGTTATTAATAAAAGAAATTTTTATTTTTATAATATTATTATATATACTTATATCTCTGCTATTAGTTATTACTAATTATATCTTTGTATATATTAAAGTATTTGTATTAGTAATAGAAGAATGATATATAATTATCATTATATCTTGTATTACTGCTAGAGATAGACACTTATACATCTAATATGTCTATATAAATTTATCAAGTGATATAAATTATCACTAAAAATGTGTTAATTAAAAATGTCACCATCAGATTCTATTTGGACTTACTATAATAAACTTGGATATGTATCTGGTTTTCAATAAAAAAGAGCAAAATATCAAAAGTATAAGTATCAAATTAACTATGCTTTATGACTAGCTCAAGCTTATTTTTGAAAATATGATCAAATTACTATTGAATAATAACAAAGATACTTTGGTGAATCTTATCAAGAAGTAACAACATCAATAAATAGTAGTAATTTGTCAAATAGACAAATTACTAGCTATATTAAAATTAATAATATGTTATCTACAGAATAAAAAGCACTTGAATTGACATTTGCACAATCAATATTTTATTGTGAATTATTTTTATCATTATCTGAGATGGAGCCAATCAAAGATCTTTGGAAAAAAGCATGATCTGCTTTTAAATTAACAAGTCAAAAAAAGCTTTCTACAATATTATTGGATACTATATATAATGAAACTAAAATTGAAGTTATATCATTACTCAATAAGTGTAAAAATCTATGTCTAATTTCTGATAGATAGTATTTATATTTATATTTATTTAATTTTTTCTTTATTAATTATTAATTTTTAATAAATTATTAAATATATAGGTTGAATTTAGTACAAGAATATTGGACAAACTTTATCTTAACTACACCAACTCCTATCTTTTATTCTGCTCATCTAACCAAAGCAAAATATCAAGATGCTGATACAGTTGCTCAAGATTTATCTACTATTATAAGATAAGTTGGACAATCAAAAATTTCTGCTATTATTACTGATAATGCATCGGTAATGAAAAAAGTATGGAGAATACTAAAAATTGAATATCTATTAATTTTATTTCTTGAATGTATTACACATAACTTGAATCTTTTAGTGGGTGATATTATGAAAATATCTTGATATACTCAGTTAATGAAAGAAGCTAAAAAACTTGTTAAATATTTTAAAACTCATTAAATTCCAGCAGTAATTCTTAAAAAATACTAATTATTCAGCTATAATCATTGAAATTCACTTAAATATCCAGTCAAGATGCATTGAAGATCAGTTGCCACATGTTTAAACTCAATTTATCAAAATCAACTAGCACTTGAGTTGGCTACAGTACTTGATATATTGGTTACTGGTATTATAACCTTTGAATCCAATACTCCACATCTTGCACTTTTTTATTATTGGTATCATCAACAACTCATCTTAAATGGTATATTATTTTATTTTATTAATAAATATTCATATTTGTAATTTTAACTAATAACAAAATTATATATTAGTTTATATTTTTCTGAAAGTAAAAGATAAGATTCAAAAAATATTACATGATCATTGGTCAAAAATATATCATCCTGTGATGACAATGGCAAATTTACTTGATCCACAATATCTTGATAAAGATCTTTCAGCTAATGATATAATAACAATTTCAAACTTTATTTACCAATATTATTCATATGATGCCAATATTATTTGGGAATAATTACTTCAATATAAGACACAAACCAGGATTTTTAATATCAAGCTAGCTTGGAAGATAGTTGATAAAATTGATCTAATTATATAGTAGAAAGTTAATTTTAATACTATAACATCACAACTCAACAAGCTGGCTATTCAAATTCTTATAATTTTATCATCCTTGGCTGTCTCAGAATGCAATTGGTCTGCTTTTTCATATATCCATGACAAGAAAAGAAATTGATTAATGGATGGAAGATTATTAAAGTTAGTTTATATTTATAGTAATTATAAACTTACTCTATCTCATTTTGAATCAGTTGATATATTAGAGTCTATAGCATGTGCAGAAGAAAAATCTATCAATGAGATTTTGCAACTAGATGATATTGAAATGTGGGATCCAGTTGGAGAAGAGAAAGTTTTATCTGAAAAAACTGATATGGAAGATTCTGAAAGAAATAGTGTGAAAAATTCCAAAGAAAGTGAGGAAGAAGATATTAGTGAATCAGAGTCTGAATCAGAAGAATTGGAAAGTGAAGAGGAATAATTAATGAATTATAATATATCTTTGTGCTAATATCTTTATTATAGCAAAAAAATATTGAATGTAATTTTTTTTATTAATTTTTAATAAACTTGATAATTTGCTTATCTTTTGTATATATAATTTGCTTTCTATAGAATATTTCAGTTCATCACAGCCAGAAAACTCAATTCTTTTGGCTTGATAAAGATATTATATTAGTTCTGATAATGAAGCTTCAATCTTTTATTTTACTACTATTTCCAATACTATCATTTATTTGTGTCAAGTTTTAGTAATGTTGAGAGATTAAAATGTCTAAGTGAAGCAGTAAATATATTATTTGTGCCAGCCATCTTTTTTTTCTCTGTCTCTTCTTATTATTCTTTTTCTCTTCTGTTCTTCTCTCTTTTTTTCTCAAGACTGAGTAAAATTCTGGTTTTTGTGTTACTGTCACATGTTAAACCTGTGCTGCAATAATATATAACATTATGCATAATATCATACATGCATGCATACTGCATAATGTGCATAATGCACATGAAAAATCCAAAATACAGCAATTTGTCCATCTCTAATTACTACTATTAATTGATATAAATTATATCTTTGCATATATTGAAGTATTTATATTGATAATAGAAGATAATACATGATATTATTATGATAAATTGGTAAGTGAGATTTCACTTGAATTCATCTTAATGATATAGGATTGGGAGAGACTGAAATAATTAAAGGGTGAAGAGAGAGGAATTAGACTATAACTTTTAATAATAATAAAGATTTCTAAAACCTATGCCAATATCTACAGATATTATCTCAAAAAGGGATATTAAAATAAAGAAGGTAATAAATAAATCAAAAAAATTATAAAGATTAACTGAGTGAAGCCACTAGTAATTGATATAATTCAAGATTTGAATTGATTAAATAGCAAGCTATTAATCAAAGAAGACTATAACTA